CTTAAAAAATGTTTGCTAACAAGAAGAATTCTACATTAAATTTGGGGTTTTTTTGCCTGCCTTTATGTCCTGGGAATCAGGACACTGTATAAAGTAACATACACATCTTAACATCTGGCCCAATACTTAACATGTAAATGGATGCAAATGGAATCCAGGAGACATGTGAAATTGTGTAGGTCACAGAAAAACAGCTTATGCCTAGTGATACCTCAATGCCAGTACCGGGAGAGCTTTTGGAACCATGTCCAAAAGGGTAGATGAGGAGCCTGAGGCCATTGGATCTCTTCTGGGTTGCAATTTGGAAGAATGAAATCCACCAAAGAAGATAGATTCTGGAAAGGGAAAGGCACCAAAGAAATCCTTTCCTCATAAAAGGATGCCACCTTGACATCGGGTTAATCCTTTCTTGTTTCCCTTTAGAAAGAATAGGGGTCAGATGTGCTTTCTGGAGGTAGATGTCCACAGGTGGAGGGCGTGGGATAAAGAGGAGGTGGGTGAGGAGAGAAAGACCAGTTTCTTTTCCCTTGTGGGACAGGTAATACCTAAGAACCAGGTTTTGTATTGAGGATCAAGTCAGACTTCCCCACCAATACAAGCCTGGTACTAGACATAAATACAAAGGTTTATTATTCTGGGAAAACGCTCTGGGATACACAACTGAGTGCTGGTGAGGGATTTAACTTGATTTCCCTTTTCCGGCAGGATTCAGATCAGATATGTCCTCCTGAAAAGTCAATAGGGAGCCAAGATGCCAGCTGGGGATGGGAGGTGTTCAGATTGTTAGTCTAGCAAGGGGTCTTGTAGGTACAACTCTGGTCTGGGATTTCAGGGCTTCTGAAATCTATTCTCAAACTGGCTAGTGATTGGCTTTGGAACTTAGGGAGAATCACTGAGTTAGTCTCCTGCCCTACAATATGTGGAGGGAAGTCTTGTCCACCTTGAGCGTTTCTTGCCTTTCTGTGAGGTTGATTGAAGGGGATTGTGCAAATATTAAAAATAATTTCAGAAAAGTCTTTGTTAAAAAGGATGGGGAGGGGGATATACTGGGAGATAAAAGTGATGTCAAAACAAAAGATATCAACAATTGAAAATTCGTTTTTTAATGTTTCAGGAAAATGAGAAAGCAACTGGGAGAATAGCTAAGAAGCCAGTTGGACTGTGCGGGAGGAGCATGGGGGGGGCAGTGGCAGGAATGAAGGAATGAGGGGCCAGTCATGCCAGGGCTGGGGAGGTAAAGGGGGCAGGGACTGGAGACCGTGGAGAACAGCATAGCCATTGTACTCCTATGTAGTCATAGCTAGAGGGCTCTGCCCTTCACCTTATTCCCACAGGATCCTTTTCTGATTCAGGATGGGGAAAACTCGTGGCAGGGCATAGTCCCCCAGATTACACAATCGTGAAGTAACTTCATCTGTTTTCTCCAAGATGGAGAAACAACTCTACGACAGGGAACCAGCTTCACTGGTCCCTAAAAAACAATCCTGGTCCACTTTTTTTTTTTTATCAGTTTCACCATCCATGCATACACAAGAATTCTAGCTTTTAAGTCTCTGGAAGAGAGAGGCGGACCCTTTCTCTGGACTTTTGTTACTTCTGACTCAAGGTCAATTATTTCTTTTCTCTGTGCCTCACGTTGCTACATCAAACCTTAGGAGTAACAACAGTTTTTCAAGATCTGAGGAGGTTTCATTAAGATACACTGATTCTTTTTTGAGCTCCTCAAAGAAAAGATGCTGAGGGTAGGAGTATCATTAAATCTTTTCCATAGGCATCATCCTGTCCCTCCCCCAACAGGACATCTTAAGGTGCCAGATCTCCTCAGCAGGCTCTATGTGGAGGTAGAAGAAAGAAACCCTCACTTGGCAAGGAGGAGTCCTCACAGACTATTTAGGGGCTGAGGCCGGGGTGTCCCTCTTTTTGCCTCCCCGTCCCACTCATTGCATTGTCCCAGTCCTCCATTGCCATGGAAAACCAAAGAGGCCCTTCCTAAGAGGGAGTGAGCTGGCTGCTAGCAGCCCTTTGGAATCCTCCGAGACAGCGCCCTGATATCATCTCCCGTGGGAGACCCAAGCAGGTGCAGCGCCCGTGCCAGGGGAAGGGACTAAGAATGCGACTGGGCCCTGTGCCCAGGGCCTGTCCCACTCGACCACCCCACCCCTAACCCCATTCACCATCCTCCCCCTCCCCCACTGCTGAGTCATCATTCTCGTGACCAGGGCACTGCAGCTCGGTAGGCAGTAGGCTAATCGAACCCGCAAGCCAAGCGTCTTCTTTCGCCCAGTCTCGAGGCAGCACCCGGTCATTTTCGGCGTGCGTCCGGGGGGAAGGGGTGGAAGTGGGGGTGGACTGCTGGAGGGAGGATTAGCTTACCAGACCCACTGTGCGCCTACCTAATTGCCCAGGGAGCAAAAAGCCCGCGCCACCCAGGGCCGAGCCGCTCCGGAACACTACCATCCTAGCTACAGTTTCGCCCAAGGGCGCTTACTGAAGGGGTTGGGGGGAGGGTGGGTGGTGGGGAGGAGAGGGAAGGATCCGGGCTCAGACTCCAGTCCCTTATGGGTTGTTTTCTGGAGTTTCCCGGCCAGCTCACACCGCACGTCGCTGAGTCACCGACCCGGAGCCAGCTGATTCTGGGCAGCCACGCAGCATGGGCAGGGGGCCCCCCTTCACGGGAAGAAGCAGTCCCCACTGGTCCCCACTAGTGGGAAGGACCCTTGTTCTCCCACTTCCTTTTATTACCTTCTTCTTGATCTGTGAGTGGCCTCGGCGTTTCATAGCTGCCCTGGTCCTTGACTTTCGGACCAGTGCTTACCCCCAGGGAAAGCTGAGTTCTTTGAAAGAATGTGGAGGGGGCATAGTTAGACTGCTGGTGGCCTTAGCCCACAAAGTTTCTCTAGCGTCAGGAAATGGGGCAGGGCTTCTGCCACCTGGGAGGGCAAGGCTAGGAGTCCCCGATAGAAAGATATATAGTGAGGCATTTAAGAGATAAGAGAATGACCTCGATGTTTTTCTCTGGGTTCATCCCTCACACTGGCTTCTCTGCATTGTTCTTTGTTTTGCGGCCTTGGCGAGTTATGATTTCCCTGAGCCAATCTTTTTAAGAGGGAGGAATGAAGTGTCCCTAGTGTGGTGGAGTAGAGGGTAGGGGGAGAGTTGGTATCAGGTGGGCTGCTGCAATGGTGGCAGGACCTCTTCTCACCAGGCCTCTGATTCAAAACAGGCTTTTATAAACTGACTTTTAAAAAACAAAAAACAAAAAGCAAAAAACACAACATATTCTTTATTTCACTCTCACAGAAAATTATCAAAAACACAGAACACAGTAGACCCAAGTCAACATATTTCTCATTGAACTACATTTCAGTGAGTCTCACCCCCCCCCCAGGTCTGAGATAGATAGGCCTTTAGTTTCGTTGTTCTTATTGTAGTCTATTAAAAAAATCCCCTCTACTATTTTCTGGGTCTAGCTTTCTTTTCTTGTTTCCTTCTTTCTTTCCTTCCTTCCTCCCTCCTCTCTCTCTCTCTCTCTCTCTCTCTCTGTATGACTAACAAGAATTTATTTTCTCTTTCCTTTCCCAGTCGAACAATTTAAAAAAAAGCCCTCATAACAAACATGCATAGTCAAACAAGACAAATCCCACATTGGCTATGTCTAAAAATGTATGTTTTATAGTGCCTTCCCTCTGTCCTGTATATGTCTTGTTTGTAAAGTTGTTTTTCCCGTTAGACTGTGAGCTCCTTGAGAGCAGGGACTGTTTTCTGCCTTTCTTTGTGTTCTCAGCACTTAGCATTGCATCTGGCACAGTGCCCTAATAAGAGTGTAACAAATTCTTGTTTTCACTGGCAGGAAATGGGTAATCATACTTCATCTCCCTCTGGAATCCTGGTTTGTCATTGAAGTCAGAGTTTCTGAAGCTTTCAAAATTGCTTTTGTCTTTATACTGTTGTCTTTGTATAAAATGTTCTAGTTATGTTCACTTCACTCTGCATTAGTTCTTAAAGTTTCCTCTGAAACTTTCCCTATTACCATTTCTTATGTTGCAATAATATTGCCTTACATTTGTATGTCATAATTTGTTTAGCTATTCCTCAACAGATGGGTACTCCCTTAGTTTCCAGTTTTGGGCTACTATGAAAAGAACTGTTATAAATATTTCTGTATATATCTTCCTAAAGCACAATTCTGACCAAGTCAACCCCCCTATTTTAACTAACTCCCAGTTACTTCCAGGATGAAACATAAAATACGATGGTTGGCTTTTAAAGCCCTTCCTAACTTGGCCCTTTCCCACCTTTCCTGTCTTCTAACACCTTATCCCTCTCCCCTGTATTCTGTGATCCAGCCTCCAGGCTATCCCCCATACCTGGCACTCTTTCTCTCCTTATTCAACTTTCTAGCTTCCCTGGCTTCCTCTGAGATTCAGTCAATAAATATTTATTAAGCATCTATTAGGTGCTTAGTCATAATAGTCAAGCATTGCTAAACTTGGGGGCTACAAGTATGAAAAAGATAATCATTGCCTTCAGGGAGTTTACAATCTAATGGTGGAAGATTACACACAAAACAGAAGGGGCCAGTGGGGAGAGGTGAGACACTCGGTGGCCTAGTGGAGAAGTCAAGTAAGTCGTGCAGCCTGAGAAGACAAAGAACTCCAAAATGAGTGCATCTGAGTAGGAAATGAGTCAATGTCTGAGGAGATGTCTCTTCTTTCGTCCCTCCTTAAATGTATGTTGAGGGGTTCCCAGCTCCACCCTTCACTCAGAAGGGCAGAGAGAGGGTACTGGCCGAGTGAGAGTTTCAAGGCTGATTGGATCTTCTAAGAGGAAGAGGTTTCCCAAAGATTAGTTTACTGGGGACATGGTGAAGTCAGAGTCCAAAATGAGTGCAGCTTTTTGGGAAATGAGATGTCTGAACGAATATGGACTTTTTTTTGGGGGGGGGAGGGCTTTCTTTCTATCCCCAGCAATTAGCATAGTGCCTGGCATATAACAGGCACTTAATAAATCCTAGTCGACTAACATATGGGTCCTTTCCCCTCGTTTCTCCATCCTCTTTCTTTGATTAGTAGTAGTAGTCTCATAGACCCTGGCCCTTGGCTAACTTTTGCTTCACCTAGATCCATTCACTAAAGCCTGACTTAGTAACAGGTTTCAATCCATCCCGTCACCACTTTGCCCAAATAAAGCACCGTGCCTAAGGCTGAAACTAATTGAGTCCATGTACCTTTCTTTGTGCTTATAGCTTTCTTATTCGGTCTATGTTTTATCTTTATTTTGGACAGCAAACTAGTTGAGAACAGTGACTTTTTTTGTTTGTTTCGTTTTTGTAGCTCTGTAAGCTGAGGTTCTCAGTAAGTAAATGCTGGTGACAAATTTGCAAATCTCAATTAAATTCAACACGTATTATCAGACTCTCTCAGGCAGAGCATTGTTAGGGAGGCCCTAGAGGAGGTGTTTGGATACGACCCAGCTCTCGCCTTCATAGACATTATATCTAGTAGCAATTTGAAAAGGAAAGCTTTATTTATGGGTCCAGGCCTTATCTATCAGTCACCTCCAGTAGTCTCCCCTCACTTCCTCCTTCTCACCTTCCCCATTTCTCCAGCCCAGGGCTTCCTTCTCTCTGCCAGAGTACTGTCACTCAATTCCCCACATGTATTCAGAGGGCTCCAGGATACAGGGTAAGTAAATTCCTTCCGACTGGGTTGCAATTACTTCCTTGGTTCCAAACTAATCCTTACCACTCCATAGCCCAGGTGGCTTCCCGTGGGGTCCAGTTCTCCTGGATGCTTGGGGCTTACGGCCTCCCTAGCAGGTTCCCTACAGGTGCACTGCTCCGCCCTGCCTCCTGGAGAGCCCGGTTTCGCCTCCGTAACTCGAAGGGTAGCAGCCTAGAAGGTTAAAAATAGTTCTACGCGGAAGCCGTCGGGGGCGGAGCAAGCAGCGGTGTGGAGAAAAGTGCGACCCAGGTCGGCGGTCGGTGGGCATCTGCCAAAGCCACTGGGTTATTTTTCTGAAGGAGGCAGTCTCTGTGATGTAGCCGACTCTGGAGAGGGAGTACGGAACTCTGAGCTGAGCGGCTCCTTGCGCCCGGTGCTTGGAGAGCCTCCAGATCCAAGCAGACGCAGCTCGGACTCCACCCCCGGCCCTCCTCCCTCCTCCCCGCCCAGTACAATGTCCCGCTCCGGCTTCCCGCTTCCCTAGCCCAGAAGTCACGTTAGGAGGCTGGAGCCGGACTTCTGAGCGCCTGCCTGAAGTTGTGCAGCGGGAGCAGTTTACGCTCTTTCAGCCCCTCTGCCTTGGGCCCTGGGTCCAGGCTGACGCAGCTGCCCGGCTAGCGGCGCATGCACGCCTCCGGCTCGGACTTCGCTTGCCTCGGCCTCCGCTTGCCTCGGCCTCAGCCCCCAGGCTGGGCAGCTCGCCCGACACGCCGCGTCTCCGGCCGCGTTAGCTGTCACTCCTCCCGCCGCTGAAACACTGCCCGCCCAGCCGGTGACTTCCCTCGGCTTTGCTGCCCGAAGCGGCAGCGCGGGAGGAGCACGAGATCGTTACGGACACAAGGGGGAGGGCGTCCCTGGCTCTGCCGCGTGGGGGTGTCCCAAGCTTCGGACCAGAAAGGCGTGGGGGTGCCCTGAGCTTCAGCAGAGAACCTGAGGAGGACCCAGCTGTTTGCCGGGAAGATTCGGGAGCTCTCCGACTAGGAGGATGCCCTCGAGTCAGGATGGTGAGAGGGGGAACCGGAGTCCAGAGGCAGGACTAGTTAAGCGGGCTGCCGGGCCGGCTTGGAAGCTTAGCGCTTCGACTCTGGGGGGAAGGTCACTTGCTTTGCTTCCTGGGGATGGGCTCACTACATGCTGGGTCTGATGGCCCCAGGGCAGATGCTGTACTGTAAATAGTCTATTCCGGATCTTCGCCCTCCGAGGGTAAGCCGGGAGCGCTGGGGTGCGGAGGCGTGGCCAGCCACCAGGGGGGTGGGGAAGAATACTCGGAACGCCTTTCTCTCGGCTGACCAAGTCATGCCGAGTGGTAGAACTTGGGGGAAAAGTTGGGGCAGGAGGGAGGAGCGCTGGTGAAATAGGACTGCTCTAAAGAGCGCCTGTTTATTCAGACGTCAGGTTGGATCCTAGGGAGTGAAGCTCAGGCCATCAAAGCAAACAGCCTTCGCCCCTCCTGCGGCAAACCGGTCTGACCGGGGAGGGCCGCCAGAGCGGCCCCACCTTTCCTCCCTCTCGGATCCGCCTTTCCCCAGCCTCAAGGGGAACTGGGGCACGGACTTCATTCGTCTCCCTCCCTGCAGAGTTGGAGCTGGAGCTGGAGACAAGGTGGCAGGCGGGAGAAGACAGGGTTGAACAGGCGGTCTGCTTCCACCCCGACCCCCCTGGCCAGCACGTGAATCCATCTGTTGGTCCAACCCCCACCGCCAAGCTCCAGAGGCCCGGGGTCGGGGGAACTAAGTCTGAAGCCGAGCTCGTTATCGAGACTTTTCCCGAGCCGGGAGGAGGTGGGAAGCAGCGGGCAACTTGGCCGGTGTGTGAATCCCCTGTCCTGGATCTTGTGACTGCGCAATGTCCGGCGGGGTTCCGGGACTTTTGAGCGATTGAAGGACGACCTGGTCCCAGGGACCCCTTCTCCCCGCCCCCAGGCCCGATGTGAGAAGAAGCGGGTCAGATAGGGCTGGAGTTCTGACGCTGACATTGGTCTGGAGGCAGGGACTATAAGGATTCCTGATTCTCTACCACACCCATCCTCTCTTAGCCCTGGCCGGAGACCCAGATACCTCTCTGGAGATCCAGAGAAGCCGGCAAAGAGGTGCTGGGGACCTGGACGTGGCATCATTGGAGGAGTGTCCCGCACTTGGGATTGCAGAATCTCCCCAACTCCAGTCCTCTTTTCTCGAGAGCTTCGTGCCCTACAGCAGCAGGCTACAGAGGGGCGGCGGCGGTGCTCGCTCCCACCCCATCCTGGTGGGCCTAGCTTCCCAGAGGCTCTGCTGATCCTCCTTCTCTACCTCCATCATTCGGAATAAACACTGGACTCAGCCGACCGCAAGTCCTTCCTCGGCTGAGAAGGGAGCAGTGTAAGCTCCTGTTCCTCTGCTCCCTACGGAGCTCCTAGCTCCAAGCCCCTGGCGATGGAACATGCTTCCCCTCACCCCTTAACTTGGGGCGGGGCAGGAGAGCCCCCATGGCAGCCTCGACACCGGTGTCTGGGAGAGGCCGATAAGGAGCTGGGGGCGGAGGCAGCCGGAAAGGCTTGCATTTCTATAGGGCCTCGTTCGCTGGCACTCCGGAGCTTGAGGGAGTTTCGGGCAGAGGCCACGCATACAAGTGCGTGAGGGCCAAAGAAGGAACATGGTGGCGGTAGTGGTAGTACGGGGGGGGGGGGGGGTGGTGATGGTGGAAGGGGCCCAGAATACCAAAGCCTGAAAAGGTCGGATTGAAGAACCGAGTGCCAACTTCCCTTCCTTGGGTTACTTTCCCAACAAACTAGAGACTGAGAGGGAACAAAAACGGAGGTGTGTCGAACAGGGCTCTTTCCCTCTAGTTCATCCTCCAGCTTCATTCCCTCCTTTGTTCATAAAGCTGGAGTACCCACATCTCCAAAATGGTTCCCCAGGCCGCAACGGAATCCGGGTAATTCAAGCTCAGGATAGGTCCAGGTGATGGACAGCTCCAGTTTCCAGGCGCCTTGGAGAAGCTCTTGCCTCAGTCCTTTCCCTTTTCCTCTTCTCTCCAGGGCACCCACGGAGACTTCTGCCGAGGCCCTGCAGGGTGCTGGTGCTACTGAACCCCCGGGGAGGAACCGGCAAGGCCCTGCACCTCTTTCAGAACAGAGTGCAGCCCATGCTGCAGGAAGCTGGCTTCTCCTTCCAGTTGCGACAGACTGGTAAGCGCTAAGTGCCCCCAGGGGCAGGTGCTCTGCCAACCCCTTCCACCTTGGGTCAGCAACCTAGGGCCAGAGTGATGGTGACTGGGGTCCCGCATCGGAATGCAGAAGAACCTGAACTACTTGCTTCCCTCCTCCCTTCAGAGCGGAGGAACCACGCGAGGGAGCTGGTGAGGACTGAGGACCTTTCCTCCTGGGATGCCTTGGTGGTGATGTCTGGAGATGGGCTGATGCACGAGGTGAGTGATGGGCAATGGCTGGGGGTGATGTGGAGAAGAGGATTAGGTGCAGATAGATGCTGTTAGGAGGTGGCTAGTGTTAAGGGGAAGGTTCTGTTGGGAGGCTCCGCAGATACTGACTTCGCACTTTCAGGTGGTGAACGGCCTCATGGAACGACCTGATTGGGAAACAGCGATTCAGAAGCCTCTCTGTAGCCTTCCAGCAGGCTCTGGCAACGCTTTGGCTGCATCTGTAAACCATTATGCAGGGTGAGCAGCCAGGATTTTGCCTCCATTTCCCCTTCCTACACCTCCCTCCTTCCAGTTGTTGGCTTGCTGACTTTTAAGTACCCTCAAACTCCGTTCCCCCCAGGGTTTACATGCCCGGAAGGGCATTTTAAGTCTTGAGGCTCCCAGCCTCAGCTCTCCATCTGCTCCAGTCCCTCTGCAGGGCCAGCGAATCAAAGGCTTCCTATCTGTCAGGAGGCTGGCTGCAGACAATGACACTCCTTCTAGCCCAACCCCAGGGAAGGGACCAGTGGAGTCAGGGAATGAGGATTCCAGCCTTTGCTCATGTTCTCCCTTCACCTCCCAGCAATGAACAGGTGACCAATGAAGACCTACTGACCAATTGTACGCTGTTGCTGTGCCACGGGGGACTTTCTCCCATGAACCTGCTTTCCTTACACACAGCCTCAGGCAGCCGCCTTTTCTCTGTGCTCAGCCTGGGCTGGGGCTTCGTTGCAGACGTGGACGTGGAGAGTGAAAAGTACAGGTGCCTGGGAAAAATTCGATTTACCCTGGGCACATTCCTCCGCCTGGCTGCCCTGCGCACCTATCATGGCACATTATCCTATCTCCCAGTTGGAGCACCTTCTTCCAAAATCTCAGCCGGACCTCCCTTGGACCATGACCAACCAGGCCCTGTGGATTCACTCCTGGTGCCTCTGGAGCAGCCGGTGCCAGAAAACTGGACGGTGGTGCCTGACCACGAGTTTGTCTTGGTGCTGGCTCTCCTGCATTCCCACTTGGGTAGTGAGATGTTTGCTGCACCAATGGCTAGGGGAAGTGGAGGGGTTGTACATCTGTTCTACCTTCGAGCTGGTGTGCCCCGGGCTACGTTGCTTCGCCTTTTCATGGCCATGGAAAAGGGTACACACATGGATCTGGACTGCCCTAATCTGGTGTATGTGCCGGTGGTAGCCTTCCGCCTAGAACCTCATGACACCAGGGGCATGCTTACAGTGGACGGGGAGCAGCTGGTCAGTGAAGCTGTCCAAGGCCAGGTGCACCCTGGACGTTTTCAGTTGGTTAGTGGCTGTCCAGAACTAAAGCCTGGTCCCGAGCCAAGTCCTCTACCCTGCTCAGAAGACTCTGCTTCATCAGAGTTCACTTCTTAAACAGGGCCCTAAGCAGGGCTTGTGGCCACCATCGGACTTGCAATGCTGGGTCCTAGTCTGCTTTGTAAACAGGGAGTGCCTTACCCCTAAGTGAAAAGGAAAACCCTCCACAGGTTAGGTAGTTCCAGGACTCCAAAATTAGGCAAATCGGCTCTATTAGATGTTCAAGATTTCCTCACTTCAAGACCAGAGTTAGTCAAACTCTATTGGTCAGAGGTAGCATACCAAAATCTAAATAAAGTGACTTTTTCAGGTTGCCTAGTCCCATCTCTGGGGGATAAGGAAAAAGTGGGACCTTGGCCCTAGGAAAAATGATATTTTACATGATGCTTTACAGTGACAAAGTGCTTAAAATCCAGGTTCATTTGAGCTATTCTGTTTGCAGATGAGGAAAAAACCAAACTTGAGTTTGCTATTTGCCCAAGGTCAATGATAAAACTTGAATAAACTTTTAAGTTCAGTGCTGTAGAATACAGGTGTCAAACTTTGGCTGGCAAAACTTGAGTGCAGCCCAAACCACAAAATGTAATTGGGAACTATTTAACAAAATTAAAAAAAATTATATTAGCACGAGGTTTTAAAAATCAATATGCCACCCAAAGGGATCTTGATGTACAGTTTAGTGGTCTCTGTTTCTATAGGAGTTCGACACCTTTGCTCTAGAAGATGCAAGGTAGAGGAAACAGCATTTTTACTGATAACCAGAAAAGGTGTAAGCTTGTTGGGGATTCCAGCTCTATCAGTCAGGTAAGCCTCAAAGAATGTGGCTGAAGCATCATCAATAAGCTTTTTTAAAAGTCCCTCGCATATGCCAGCCAGTGGAGATATAAATAGAAGAGTCCCTGCCACCCTTAAAGTGTTTGTATTCTATTTGGGCCAAAATTTTGGGTGAAAAGGTGGGAATTGTACCTTCCTTACTTAGCTACAGCTGTAGGGAAAATTCAGGCAAAGGAGAAAAAAGGGCAAACTTTATCAACAGCGTCCCGCTCCCCCATCCCAACTCGGGTAGTTTTTTCCATTCTTGCCACCAAAACCTACCTTTCTCCAGCCTAGCTTTTTTTACAGAGATCATCCTCTCCTACTCCCGCTTTACTTCCTTCCTACTGAACAAACTAGACAGGACCCACTGAAGGAGGTATAAGCTGTAGGAATGGTAAAAGCAGTGTGTCAACAGACCCCCCAACCGCCTCCCCCCCCACTTCTTCTCCTTTGGGATCTTTTCCCTGGACTGAAGTTATAAAAAGGAGAAATACCTGCCTAGAGCCCTATTGTGTTATGCCAGCCAGCAACTTCAGCCTCATAAAGAGGTACTAAACTTCTGAACTGAGGCTTTGACTATTTCAGTCCAAAGTACTGAGGTCAAATATTAGGATGTTCTTTATCAAATGCTAGAAAGGAACCATTATTTCTGAGAAAGGCCAGACAGCTAGTAATCTGTGACAGGAACGCCTACTGTATTTGAAAAGGGATCTGACTGACCTCAAAGGAAGCTGCCTGGTGGACCTTTGGCGAGGACATGAGATTGTCTGGTTCTCAATGGATGAAGGAATGAGGGGATGGGGGTGGAATGTGTGTGTGTGTGTGTGTGTGTGTGTGCGCGCGCACGCGTGCGCTCGTGCGCATGTGATCTCTTGAACTCTTGTTAGCACATGTTTTAAAAACTGTCTTCGAGGGAAAAAAAGGCAGCAAAGTCCAGATGAGTGGCAGAGGCAGGTTTAATGGCATTACCTTTTTTGTTTATTTTTACATTCTAATGAGCCAAACTGGAAAAAAAAATGCAGGTAAAAAAACTTTAATCACACAGCACTTTATACAGATATTATAAGCAATAGGGCATTCACATCTCCACATGAACAATGAACGCACTTTGAAGCACGGCCCCAGCAGTCAATCCTGTTTTGTTCTTAAATACTGTACAGAATAGAATCAAGTCTTCAAATGCCACCCACAGTCCTGCCTCTGACCACTCTCCCCACTGCTGCAGCTGCTGCTAGCTGGTTATAGTACAGCACAGTTGTGGAGTCAGCTTAAGGCTAACAAGATGCATCATGCTTTGGCTTTTTTTTTGTCTTTTTCTTAAGTTTAAGGTTTTTGTCTTTTATGAGATTTTAGCTTTTTTTTTTAAACCTTAAATATTACAATACATACACCAAAAAAATTACATAGCTGCAATGTGCTCAATAGCAACCTCATAACCTGGAGCTTCACATTATCAAAAGCTTAGAAAATGTGTAAACCTCTGTGCGTGTCTTGGGAGAGGTGTGAGTCCCCAGCTGGCTACAACTCACCTCAGCTTGCAGAGTCTCTGCATTAGAACCAGCTGGGTTCCTCACTCTCACACCAGAATGGGCTGGCTGCTGAGGAAGGGGAGCCTCTCTGGTATGAGCTTCATGTCACCTCTCCATGTTGTCAAGTGGCTACTGTGATGACAGGGGCAGAGTCCCTAGCACTTTACTCCCTCCTTCCTGCTGCACTTTCACTTCTGGGTAAGGAGAGGAAGGAGCACTTATAGTCTCAGTTCAAAAAGTTTTTGAGCTTAAGGAAACCAAAGCTGCTTATTCTCCCACATGGTCGGGTCTGGGATCAGCAAGGCACCTATAGCTTTTACCTCCCCATCAAATCCATTATCTTCACCCTCATTCCAGAGTGCTAAACCATCCCCTCTACGTGCCACTGCTACCTTATGGGTAACGAACTAACACAGGCAAGGTTCTGATAGGGTGGTGTGACTGATGGGAAAGGCCCCAGGAAGTCCCTAAGGAACAACTGCTCTGCGTGGGGCATAGACAAGAGACAGTAGATTCTGGAAAGAGTGGCAGAGACAGGATTGGGCAGCAGAGGAGTCAATCTAGAGGGCAAGGGGCCACTGGAGCGTGGCTTTCCCCACTACAATGAATGCAAGGCACATCCACTGCTCCAGAGATTAGGTCTTGCCACTAATGAACAAAACGTTCAGGCCTAAGGACAGCCTCAGTGTTATTTTCTGGAACTTTTTGTGGCAAAGGAAGGGAGAAGGAAGAACTGGGCTTTCTTTTTTTTGTTAGGAAGTTAACAGGGGGAAAAGGAGAAAAAAAATGATAAAAAATAACCTAGGAAGTTCAGATTCTTTTTGTTGCAAAAGAGCCTCTTGCTCTAAGACAGCTTCAGACCAGAAATGGGAGTGCATCTAGAAACTCCTTTCACTTCAGCATCACTCACCTTGGGGGGATGAGGGCAGCAGGGGGCCCTCTTTTTGGGGATGGAAAAAAAGGAGAAGGGAGACTCCAGGAGAGGGAGTTAAGCAGCAGGCCAACCTCTCCCACTGTGTCCACTGTCTTTTCAGTCTGGGGGTTGCTACTTGTCCTCTGTGCCCTCAGGGATACCTGCCTCCACCAGGGCTGCCCGGAACTGTGCCAGGACTCCTCTGATGCTCTTGATAAAACCCTTAGAGAGTGGAAATAAGGGGAAGCCGATGTCTGGGTAGCCACTCTTCTCAGGCAGGAAGCTTCGGTAGCTCTTCCTCCGCTTCTTTGGTTTGACACTGGGTGGCACAGATGAGTCTGGGGTGGCCTCCGGGGTCTGCTCTATTAAGTCCTTGCTAACTGAAGGTGCCGGTCCCTGGGCACCACCCTCAGAGTCTGAACCCTGGGAGGCATCACCAGGAGCCACCCCTGCTTCCTCTGGCTCTTCTCGGCCGGAGTCAGATAACTCAGTAGTTGTGGGTGGCTCAGGTGAGCTGCCGTCCCCGGGGGCCCCATTGGGCAGCTCCTGGGCCCGCTCAAGGAGGGCATGGGTCTCTAGCCAGGATTCAATTCGGTTCACCAATCGCCAGCCTCCTGTACTGAAATGCTGCCGGATCTCCTGCTCGAAGACCTCAGGTGGACGCCGCAGCAGCTGGGTCATGGATTGTACCACACGGATCAGTGCCATCTCATTATAGCAGCGGCTGTTCTCGTAGCCCTCCTGCAAGCCCCGGTCACTATCAAAGCCTGCTTCATTGTAGTAAGGTTCATTCACCAGGATCAGACCTGTAGGATTAATTAAGAAAACAGAAGGTGTAAGGGAACACGCCAGGTATCCAAAGGAGAAGCCATGGCCAGGCTACTTTAAAGAACATTTGATTCTCTACTCATTGTCCTATGGATTAGCTTGTTTTTCAAGGAGTAGGAGAAATAACAGTTCTAGATCATTGCTGACCAATCTTTTTGTCCACTACACTGTCCTTCTTGCCCTGCCAGGTCAATTCTTCCCCATCTTGGGCAGTTTGGCTCTTGGAAGCTCAATTTAGAAAAGTCTGGAATTATGAATGGATGTCTTCCAAACCTATTTTTAACCTTACTCAATTAAATATTCAGGCAAGATGGTGTTATAACTGACCCAAACGGAGAACTATAACTCTTCCAAAGAGGCCCAGTGTCCAACTCCCTCTGCTATGAACCCGCTTTCCTTTATCTACCACGACTTACCTTGGATAGAGATGAGCACCTGTAGAAGGCTGGATTTACTGGTCCACCTTTCTGTTCCCTGAAATACATATGGAAGAGTAGTGAATAACAACCCAGAGACATTCTTGGCTTGCTTTCCCATTCCCATTTTTTATCCTAGCAACTCACTTTACCTTTCCAATCCATGTGCCCAGTAGACTGACACACACCTTCCCATTGTCATACAGGTTGGGGTTCAGCCGCCCACTGCACTGGGAGAGGTAGCAAAAGTGGGGTGGCACAGCAGGGTAAATGTTGGGGAGCTGGATGTCAAACAAGAAGAGGCCATCTTCATAAGGGGTTCGAGTAGGACCCTTAATCAGGGCTGAGAAGAGGTCCTGGAAGAAGAGGGATAAGGTCAATGATTACTGGAATCAGCCAGGACACACTGCACTTTTCCACATGGAGATAAAGGAACTGCGGAAGCCTGAGCCACCAGAATTCTGACCTTAATAGCCTGATCCATATAGTCACTTAGTACCTTCTTACTACTAGTTTACTACCCAAATCTTTGATATCCAGAAAAAAAAATGTTTCCACACAACCCTTTTATCTCACAGTAAGGTGAAAGGAAGAAGTCAATTTCAAGATTTGAAAATGTTTAAAGGGAAGTTTTCCAGGTTGCCCTCTACTGGAGGCTCTTCTATTGAAAGGGTGAATACTAAAAAAAAAAAATCCAATTGGGACCTTAAAGAAACAGATAAAACTGGCTCCTGCAATAAGGAATACATCTTAGCAAACATTCTGGAAACAACATTCTGGAATCATCAACTACCATAATCATTTTTGTGACTAGGAGAACAGACACTGAAGCCTTAAGCAATAGCTCACTAGAACCGTGGGAATTTTTCTGGCCTGCTCAATGAAGATATTGGTACTGTGTAAAGATCAGCAATAAAGCCCTGGTCTTAAGCTCCCCTGTAACTAAGAAAGAATACGTTGTTCCCACAGGAGGCTGAGAGGATCAGGACCCAGCAAATGATACCCAGCTCTATTCTGGTGGGAAATAGGCTCCCTCTACTTGCCATTCGGTCCTCAAAAGTTTTGACCATGATGCCATCTGGAAGCGAGGTAGCGAGCAGTGCCATCTCTTTCCTTACTGTGCTGAAGAATTTTCTGGCTTCTGGTGGCTGGAACTCGATCTTCTTAAATGAATGATTAACTGGAGATGGGAAAGACCAGTTATTTCAGCAAAATAGAGAACCGTGGGGAGATGTGTCTAGAACGTAATAGGTAAGGGAAAGACTGGCAGCCAGGGGAAGCCCAGGTCACTGGGAAGTAGTGCCCTTCACTTCATAGCTTGATATTTTTCCCCAGAAAGATGAATAATATACCCTTTATCTGACTCATCCTTTTTCTCTCCAATCAGAATTACTCAACTTTGTTTAAAATTCTCTTCACCTGGAATAGGGTTTTAGAGAAACAGCAGGTCAGAAGTGTGGTACAGGGGATACAAATGGAGTGGAGTGCCCCCATTCCAACAGGGGATATGTCAACTCAGAAGGAACCCAGTGTGGGAATGAACAAAGGAAACAAACAAGCAACACCAAGGTGAGGGACCAGCTTACAGGGTGCGAATTCCAATACAGAGAAGACCTCGCCCTTGGCACTAGTGAAAGTGACCCCGCTTGCCACCACACTGCTGGCAGAGCACTGGGGTCTCACTGGGCCACTCTGATCGAACGGGAGACTGAGCCTCAGCCCTTTCCTCCTTGCGCTCTGCCTCCGGCATAGCCTCCATTTTTTCCTCCTCAGCAATTGCCACATTGTCTAGTGTCTTTTTCAAATTTTCCTGCAGCTTCTTGATATCATCTAGGAATTTCTTCTCCCGCGTGGGCTTCTCAGGCTCCACAGTGGGTGAAGTGGGTGAACCAGTCAGGAGCTGTTCAACTGTCATATTCTTCAGACTTTCCAGGATCTTGATGGCTTCCTTCAGTTCCCGGAAACTCTTTGGGGGCCCTTCCTTGCTTGCTTTTTCCATCAGCCCAGCCACAGGGGCAGCCATGGCGACAGCTCCCTGGATGGCAGCTGCTGCAGCCACGGCCTCTTCACTGATCACCACTCCCTTGTCCTCTTCGGTGGTGATTGGAAGCTCGGTAGGAGGCACAATGGGCTCATCTCCCTTGGGGTGGTCATCTTCCATCAGCCCATTGTCCGTTTCCCAGCTGTCACTTTCATCCTCCCACTCATCCGAGGAAGCCCCACTGGTGCTACCATCTACCGAATCGTAGTCTGACTCCTCGATCTCCGACTCGATGTTATACAAGTGCTGGGCAGAGGAGGAGAAACACAATGGCAGCTCAGATTTTCAGGCTCTAGTTGTGGAAGTCACATCCCCACCAATGGAAAAGCATTCTGAAGGAGCTCAAGGCAGGCTATTTACTTTAAGGGCTACCACGGCTTGTGCTCTCGCTGTACTGTTACATGACACGTACCTGTAACCTCCTTTCTTGACTGTGCTAAACTCGGGAGTCTTAGCCCAGCTTCTTCAGTTTGGTTTGGAACAGACTGGTCTCCTCTAAACCATTCCCCTGCTTCTTTCATTTTCCCTACAGAACTTGGGAAGAGAGTACTGTCTAGATACCTAACCAGTGCTCCTGTTCCACCCTGGCCCATGATTCCCCTCTCTGCCTTGCTAAGCAGCTGCCCAATTGGGCTAAGAGGCCAATGAAGCTTGGATCAGCTGACACTGCAGCAGCGTCCCCTTTGTGGCGACACACCAGGGAGCCTGGAACAAGTGACAGGAGGGGGAGGTGAGAACACAGAAGACTGTGTCACGTACTGTTCTCTCTCCCCAGACGGCCTCAGATAGGATGGTTAAGATCCAAAACTGACTCGAGGCTAGGAGAGTTGGCCCATTAAAACTCCAGCATGAAAGCGAGAGAATGGCAGTCAAGCAGTCATTTTACTTGAGTTAGCAGGGAATGGGGACTTGGAAAGCACATGTGTCTTGGAACTGCAATTTCATACCCAAACTACCTTTCCTTGCTATTCCTACTCTGTCCAGCTTTCACAGGAGTCTATGTTTGTCAAAGGGTGTCAGTTTATCTGCATATAAAGGCTCGCATTTTCTAGACTGGTAAAAGGGAAACACTGAGTAAATGCAAAATGGAGCCGACCAAATTTGGAAGGTTTGTGAAAACTTCTGTGAGTCTAAAGATTTAGGGAAACTATCAAGCGAGACAAGACTAAATTAGATAGGTTGGGATATGGAATAATTTGGGGCAAAATCTGAGGCATGTTATACCTCTTTTTTTTCTTCTTTCCTCTGTTTTCTCTCCCCAATCAGGCCTTCCCCCTTTATTACCTATCCAAGACCCCTCAAAAAATTGAAAAGAAAAAGTCATCCCATTAAGTCTACTTCTGGGGTAGAAGGGGGAAGAGTTATGAAAAAGAGAAGGCTAAGACTTTTTGCTTCTTGTAGAAGTAGAAAGCAGAGCACAAAACCTTCTAATCAGACTACAGGCATCTAATCAATTCAGACCTATTCAGAGTCTCTCACCTGGGGTAAGATGATCGTTTTTGAATTGTCAGCCCATACCACCTCCACCTTACTGCTGACATCCACACGGGCGACCTGGCCTACTGATGGCTGCATGGGGAAAAAAAAAATCAGCCTGAGTCAGATTCCCTTCTTAGGACACAACAGGGACCCTGGATGAGCTATCTTGTTGAGGGACTTAGGATCCAAGTTTTGAGGACCTCTGGGAGCATCAGCTCTGGAATTTCACCCTACGTCAATACCTTTTGCCCTAAGACCCCTTGATCATAGGGTCCCCCCAGATCCTCCATTTAAGAAGAGTAACTGTATCTTGAGGGCAGGGACTGTCACATTTCTTTCTCATATTTATATCCCCAGTACTTGGCACAGAGCAGATACTTAATAAATGATTACTGCTTGAGATGGGGGTATAGGCCTGAAGTTTGGGAACATAGGCAGTAAACAGCTCAGAAACAGGAACAGAAATCTCAAAGTACCACTAACCTCATAAGACTAGCTTATTCAAAAACCTAAATGGATTCTCTTTACTCACTGAATAAAGACAGGTTCCTTAACTTGGAACTGGAAGGTAGTATGGTTCAATGGAAAGAACACTGGAAATCCTGTCTCTGGAGCTCATTAGCTATGCGATCAAGGGTGAGCAGTATTGTACCCATAGTACAATGGTTGCTGGGGAATCATCTGGGCCTCACAAACCTTACAGCACGTGCCATAAACAAGAGGCAGCTACAACCCTGGTCCTTCCCTTTGGTTCTGCCCAGCCTCATACACCTGTCAATCTGGACGACTTGCTGTTTCTCAGACTTACTGCATTGGACTGACTGCTCATCTTGGGAGCGCCAAGGCCACCTTTTAGCTGCCTTTCCTGATCAGCTCAAAACAAAGTTCTTGTTCTCTCTCAACTACTACAGCAGATAGTCTACTGCTGATATGGGATATACCTGCTTAAGGGCATCAGTATTTGTGAGTTACTTCTTCTACTAGCCCAACTGCAAGTTCAAAGGTAAGGGTTAAATCTTGTACAATTTTGAATGCTCATGATGCCTAGACAGAGAGTGCTTTGTACACGAGGATGGAAAATGGATCTATCGTTTCACTGACACAGGGAACTCCCTTATGGAAACTCCCTCTGCCAACATAGGTCAGTACCTTCTCTCTTCATCTTCTAGTCTCAGTGCCAGAGAGCAACAAGTAACCTGGGCAGGGTCAAAGATGTGGCAGAGGCAGTCACTGGACCCAGGCCATTTTATCTCTGAAGCCAGCTCTTTACCTAGCAGATGACATGCGTTCTCTATCGCCATACCACCTTGTATATGGGGGTACTTGGATATTTACTGAAGTTCACCTTAAGAGGTGCTACCAGAGAGGTGAGAGGTGAGAGGTGAGGCCTTCCTTTAAGTCTCAGATGTTCCCTGGCACATAGGGAGTTCTAGCTCATCCTTTTTGATTAACAAACTGACTGAGTACCTATGAGGTATGTGGAACTGAATTATATTTTGATATGACCAGATCCAGTGTGCTGGGGCCATCTGGTGGCAAAAACAGAGCCTGCAGTTGTTTGCTTTCTGTAACCAGACTGGGTGTAGGTAGGAGAAACTTCAGCTTCTGTCCTGCCCCACAGAGGCAGTTATCCTCACCTCAGGCTGCAACACTAAAACAGGGATGAACTGAGTGAGAAAGTGGACAGCTGGTCAACTGTACCTCATCTTCCTTGGGGCCAGCAGCACCTTCCTCAGCATTGCCTATTCGGATGACTATGTCTGTAGTCCGGAAACGAAAATCTGGGTGGTCAGCAATGTCATAAACACTCACATCCTCTTCTTCTCCAATTAGCTGCAATCATAGAATAAACTGCTATAGCCAGGCTATCCTTTAGACCAAGAACCCCTCACTCTTTCCTATACTATTTCCTCTAAGCAGAGTTCATTCTACAAGAGAAAGAAACAGTTATACACTCACCTCCACATCATCCCCACTTGGCCGAAGTTTGAACCACTTCACCATGCAAGTTCGGCCAATGTGGTCCCCAGACTGTACTACCCCATAAACAGCTGGATCTGGACAACTCTGGGCTATGAATTCATAAGAAAGAAGGTGATTGGGCTAAGAAATTCTGGGCCATAAATGCTCACCCCAACTCTCATCCTGAATTCTGGCATGAGACTGGATGTCTACCTTCTGCCTGATCCAGACCTTTTTTTCTCCCTGTCCCAAACCCTCCAATGTGCGACTATCTACTCAGAAGACTAATCATAATTTCTTCAATCACCACCCCTGATCCCATTTTAACTTTAGGTATAGAATCTTCCAACATGACCTCTCTTTCTCTTCTGAGATCCCTAGCCCCTCCCAACCGGGGAGTACACTAGTAGGCTGTCCCCTACCTCTCTTATCTACGACGAAGTCTCCTGGGCAGAATTCATTGTTGTCCAAGTGATGCACAGGGAAGAGCTCATTCGAACGGATGTTGGTTTCCACTGTGCCATCTTGCCACATCACATCTGCTGAGGTCATTGTGGTCACCACCTCCACTGCCACCCTAGCAGAACAGGGGCACCAGTGAGTTAGGATGTTGAGACTTATTCCCCCCACAAGATGACTCTCCTGTAGACTGGAAAATGTGAAATGCTCTAATTTTAGATTCTCTTGGAAGGACCAGAGGATTAAGGGCTTGACATTAAAGACTCTGCCTATGTTATCTAAGTCCCTTCTATTCTCCAAGGAGACTGGACACAACCTGGGCATACAGAGGCCACCAGGTCTTACAGATGAACCTTGGCACTAATCATTCTCCTCTTCTAGCCCAGCTTGTGTGGTACCTCACCTACCAACTGCCTACAAGATACCCTGGGTGGGCTCCTTCTGAGCTGGCAAGTGGCTGAGGGTCCCCCGCCCTCAAAAGTAAGTTTGTGAGTAGCAAATGAAATGATCTCAGCTGTTTTGCAGACTGAATCAGGTTAATTAAACCAGGCCCCAGTCTCAACATCTTCACTTACCTGTCTCCTGGCTTGAATTCTCGAGATACCTTAGTCTTCTTTTTCTTGTGCTTTCGCTTCAAGTTTTTGATAGACAAGGGGATGCTCTTCTTCCGACCAGGGCCACTGCCACTCTGGGAGGAGGCAGTGGAGCTAGCTGAAGAAGTCACTGAGCTCGTGTCATCTGTATCATCAGCTGCCTCATCATCTGCATCCTGTTCCATTGACTGCAGCCTGTAGTCTGTGACTCCTTCTTCCTTGAGCAGGAATGGGGGCTGCTGTTCCATAGTGTCATCAGACCCCTCTAAACCCTCATCCTGAATTTCAGCTGGGTTGATAGAGCCATTGGGAGACTCGTCAGGATTGGATGGGTCTCCTGCTTCACTCTTGGCTCTGGCTTCCCCTTTGTCAGGGTCCCCATCAGGATGATCCCCAGGGCCAGGGGAATCTGGCGAGCAGGACATGATCTTCACAATTTGCTTTTTCAGCAATCGCTTTACCTGGAAAGGTTGACACATGGAGGAGGGAGAAGTACTAAGGTCAGAGAGGCAGAATACCCAGTTGAGAATAACCCAGTAGAGCTAGGGCCGCTTGGCCAAGAACAACCAGCCCCAGCAGTGTGAAGATTTGCAAAAGAATAAATGAATATGAGAGGAATAAGGCAGCTGCTCACCAAGGGCTAAGACCCAAACTTGCTCTGTATCTCCCTACTGCTGCTGAGAACGGATGAGCTACCCACTCCCAACTCACTGGCTGTACCTTTTTGGCCACAAAGCCCTCGCCCAGCACACAGTTTCTTTCAGGGCATTCACAGGTAATCTTGGCTGGCTCCACCTTGGCTGGGAAGACGTAAAGACAACGCTCCCCAAGTTGCCGCTGAGCATGGTCAAAACACCCAAGACGTTTTACTCTGTGAAGGAGAATTAGGAAAGGTGGTAATGGAGATGAGATTCTGAGGGAAGGCTTTGGTCTATGACCCTCTTCTTGTGACTGAGCTTAAAGTCCTAAGGAGATTTGCTGGGGTCAACATTTTGGGGCCTGGAAAAGAAAGGGGAACTAGAAACCTTACCTAGCCAGATTCTCCTGTGTGATGATGGAAGGTGGGGGACTGACACTGTCTGTGCCTCCCGGACAGAAACTTTTGGTGATCCATGTGACTTTCAACTCTACAACTTGTACCTAGGGTGGTTGGAAAGGGCCAATATTAGAACAAATTTTTAGTGGCTTCAATTAAAAAGAGCTTTGTGGAAAGCTTTCCTCTCTAAAGCTTAGCTGGGACTCAGGAACTGGCATATAAACTTGGAATGTGGAACTTCATATTAATAGGCTATGGACTAGTTCCCACCCTGAAGTAATACCCCTTCTCCAAAGAAGAATCAGTCACAGAATGTTAGAGCACAACCGGCCATTAAGGAGTCTAGTCCAACTCAATTATTTTACAGCTGAAGAAACTGAGGCCCTCCAGAGGTGACATGACTTGTCTAAAGTCACATAGCTAAAGGCAAAATTAAGACAAGAATCATATATTTGGAGATGGATGGAACCTTAAAGACCACCTGGTGCAACCCCCTCATTCTACAGATGTGGAAATTGATGCCCAGAGAAGCTGAGTAATTTGTTCAAGGCCATACTGTTAATAAGTGGCAGATTTAGGATTTTAACCCTCAGGTCTTCTAACTCCAAATGCAGCAATCTTTCCACTAGATTAGAACTCTGGATGCCTAACTCCCAGTCCAATGTTAGAGAATTGTCTCTATTAGACCACTCTGCATCCTAATGCATACAAGGGACATTATATTATATATTATTCTACCTTACAAATTACATATTATTCACTCTGGCCTTACTCAGACTATATAAGTCATACTGTAGGAAGATTCCCTAACTGACAAGAATCCATTTTGTCATCAGATATCTAGCTTCCTACAGTGAACCCTTTTGCCACAAGACCTTTAAAAATCAAAATAATTCTAGGACTTGGTATCTCTGGGATAAATTAAGTCATAATATTCTTTCTCCAGAGAGTCCCTTTTCAAGACTTTCAAAGTAATCCCTGATTGACCCTACCTCCTCTACCACCACTCGGAATTTGCTTTTGGTGCTAAGCACAGGCTTGACACCTGACAGCCATTGTACACTGGAGAAGACCTTGGAAGGGCCAATGAGCACCTGGCCTGGGTAGAAGCCGTAAGAATCATCAAAGAAGAGCCCCTGCAGAAGCAATGAGAAAAAAAGTGGATTTTCAACAAAGGTATTCCTGACAACAGTCCACCCATGATGCTTCTCCCCACTACACACACCCACACACACCCATGTACATATTCACATTCAAACACACACACATTCACACACTCAAATACACATTCACATATATTCACACTCACATACACACATTCACACAGGTACCATCTCACATGTTCACCTCACTATTCCCCAAGACAAGTCCTCATGCATCAGGTAGCCATGCCCTTGGAATGAGCAATTGGAAGGGGATATTGGTGAGTTGTCTGCTTAGCAGTACCCTTTCCTTTGTAGGCCCCAAACTCTGAGGACAGAAAGAAGAGTTTCTGACCCCTAAGGAGCTTCTCCTGGGAAGGGAAAGTTACCGAGTCACTGACGTGGGGGCAAACATCATAGAGTTTGGCGCCATCTTCTGTGCTCATGGAACATCTAGAAACAAAACAGATTCAAAGTCTGAACACAAGACTTGAGAAAAGGGATCAAGGTGTTCTTTGCTAGGTGACACACTGATTACAGTCCCTGAGGTGGAGCAGGACTCAGGAAAACAGCTACTTTGCTTATCAGAACTAATTTAGGTTACTAAGCAAAACAGATACTGGTAAAGAGAGTTATTATCAATGCTTTCAACATACCAAATCATTTTCTTCCCTAACCACCCAACTTGCTCAGCTAGGGAAAGAACTTCTGCTAAACTATACAGAAAGCTAATCCTAAATCCAAGAGTTAACCGATTTTAAAGCTTTTGAAAGTACTTTCCTCTTAAACATAACCTTGAAACCAGGCTGCCCCAGGTCATTCTTCCAAAGAAGCAGGAAGAAACAAAGAATAAAAACCAAACACCACAATAGGAACATGGCAGAAGAGACTAGCATTGGGCTGGGTTTAAGGATCCAATGGGATAGGGTTAGCAACTGGACATGTGATTTTGTTGATACAGGGAACTCCTGCAGGAGGAAAATCCTTCTACAAATGTAGGCTGGCACCTTCTCTGCCACTTAAAGACTTGGCTAGAACAGGCAGAGGTTAAATGACCTGTCCAGGGTCACACAGCCAGGATGGACCAGAGGTCTGAATTTAGCCCAGGTGTTCCTGTCTCTGAGGTCAGTTCCCTATGCATTCGTTATGCCATGCTGTCTCTCATACCCAACAGAGCTGCCCCAAATACTAGAAATATCTGTTACTATCCTACCACATGAACCTTTTCATCACAATTTCCCTAAAAAAACCCCTTGACTGTCCTCCTTCCCAGGGTTGTTGGGCTCCTCTGAGTGGAAGGGAAGGATCTACCTACAGGTGGGTGAGGTACCTGGCTCCATTGGACAACTTCAGGATTATCTGGTTCTTCAAGTCATAGACCTTCCCTAGCCAGCAGTCATAGGCAATATAGTCCCCATACATGAAAGGCTGTTGATCAATCAGAGAAAGTAGTTGTAAGAGATGACATAGAATGTGTGTGCAAACTAGGTTGGAGAGCTTAGCGATAAGAGAGTGTTCATCATCCCGCTGTGGCAAGGAGTGGACCTCATCAGTTTGTTACTTGGAGAGGAGGTTGTGATTGGCCCTGATATGGAGCAGACACCAACAGAACAGACATTTTCTCTGAGAGCCCTCTTACTGAAGTATTAGGAGGAAGTAGATATTATGACACTGTATCTGAGAACTGCTCACTCTGGAGGAAAGACAAACAAGCCTAAATGGGAGAAGCACGTGCTATATATCTTCACCCTTTAGTCAGCCACATTTGGAGAAAGAATGGGAAGGAAGCAACATCCTCACTGTACAGAGGGCAGCTGAACCCAAGAGAGAAGAAGATGGGATAGGAGTTGTGGGGGGAAGAGCCCTGAGGCCTGGTTTACCCAGATATGCTGCAGGTCCTTGCTGTTGACAGGGTAGAGGATACAGTTGGTACCAACAAGTTTCACAGCACAGTCAATGTTCACATCAATCACAGTCCCACACTGACTATCCTAAAAACAAGGATACACAAGTTTCAGAGTTATAGGCAACAGTGACAGACACTACCAGGACCCCAAACCTTAAAATCCACAGAGTCCCACACTGGGGAAAATTCTATGGCAGGGAACTCAGCTACAAGTACTGTTCAGGAGATCAGACCTTGACCTCTTTTCTTTACACACTCCCAAATATTTAAGATTCTTCATTAGCCAAGATTGATATTTAGGGAAAAAGCACAAGGATAGACAGTGTAGCACTTACACTTGAGCTCATGTGTCGGACTACATCCCGGGGCACCACAGAACGATCCTCTAATTTCAACTGTAGAAGAAACAGAAAAGTACATATGTGAAAACAACCTCTGAAAATCACTACCATCTACATTTCTTATCAAATTGAATGGTATAGAGGCAGCTAGGTGGTGCAGTGGATAGAGCACTGGCCCTGGAGTCAGAAGGACGTGAGTTCAAATCCAGTTTCAGACAAGACACTTGACACTTACTAGCTGTATGACCCTGGGCAAGTCACCTGACCCCAATTGCCTCATCAAAATAATAACAATAATAATTAAAAATAAAAATTGAATGGTATGGATAAGAAAAATCCACAGATCATCTAATATTTCATTTTAGCCAACAGTTTCAACTTCCTCTCCAACAAGACTCTCCTTCCCAAGCACTTAAAAGGAGCAAATTTATCTGAGTTCCTTTCTTTAAAAAACAAAACCAAAAAACCTATAGTAGAAGTGCTACTGACCAACAAAAGGGTTAAAAGGTAGGCATCTTGGGGAAGGAAGAGATACAAAAGGCCTAGATGTGCTTCATGGTTCCTAAATTGAGGTTTAACCGTATATGGAGTCTGAAATTAGGTTAGGAGATCAACCTACTTGGCCATTCTAAAACAATTCTAATCACTGGATACCATGCATTCTAATCTGGGTTATCCCTTCTAAACAGCTGCTACCCCTGCTGCTTATCTAAGGGGCAAAAGTATGAAAGGGGTCTGCTGAGTAACTCTCAAGGAAACATGCCCTTGGAGGATGGCCAACTGCAGAAAAAGCATCTGAGGCGGTGATCAATAAACATTCATCATCGTCAATAGTAACAATAACAATTAGTGTCTTTCTCACACGGGTGCCTGCTTCTCCCCCTCTCTCTGACAAGCACTATTTCTTCATCTCTACAATGCCTGGTTGGGGCCAGCTTTCTGTCTGGTCAAGTTGGGAACCAATCTCCTCTACCCTATTTTTTAAAGCCTAAAGTTGCCCCCAGGTAGACACTCTTCATTACTATGCTGACCGCTGTATTTTCTGGATAGCCACAATACCTCTCCCCAACAGGAAATAGCAGATGATTATCAATGTTGGTTATTAGGATTCAAACTACGGATTGCCAAGTCACCACACCCCTGAGGTGGAAGTGATGTCTCATCCACCTAGCCTCAACACTGCTTACAACCTCAGGAAGCATCCCAACATGAATCTTCTCAATTCTATATCCCCAAAAAACTGAATTATCCTGCTGTATCAGACGGGAAAATGGAAGCATGGAGGAGCTTCACAAAGGTGCTGGCATTGGGAGCAAGATTAGAATAGATTCTTTTCATAGTTGAGCTTCATCCTTATACAGGAGAGGGAAAAAAGTTTATATGCTACATGCCACAAGCAGTTCCAACGGTTTTTTTTCTAAGACTGGTTTTCCATTCTAAACAAGATGCATCCACTTTAAAAGCATAAGTGGCATACAAACTCCCAAGTGTGAGAGAGAGGTACCACCCCCGACAGCTGACAAATCTACTTCTCCAACCTTTCAGAGAGGCAACTGAAGTATAAAACACTAAGAATAGTATCAACCTTCTAACAGTTAAGATGGGTGCTAAGAAGAAGAGATTTAGATGGGACAAAAACAAATTTATCACAGTAACCCATCCCCCTGGGGTTGTTCTTCCAAAATGTAATACCCTTAGCCTTTCCCAAGAAATAGAACAGTCTAAGGATTTTGCCCTTCTATCTCCAACAGCAACAACAAACACACAACACAAATGTACAGGCTGGGATCAGGAGTTGGCCCATATGAATATGCAATATGGTATTAGTGACACTAGCAGCAGCAAGACTGTATCTTTTTTCTGGATGCTGTGAATAGGGGCACATAATCTAAGGTGGAAAACCCTCAAGAATAGGTATTATTTAGTGCCTAACAACCCATGTCACCATCCTCCCCTAAGCCCAAACCTTTCCCTAGTTCTTCTTCCTCTGGGTTCTTATTCTATATGCATGTCCTTTGGGATCAGTGAGACCAGTACCTGGTGCTCAGTTCCTCTCACTTGGCCCTGTTCTCACTCCTGTTCTAGAGCCTTGTGCCAGGTCCTGGGCTTGTCCCTTTCTTGTGATAGGAATAAAGAAAGAAGACAATCTGTTAACTCCCTTTGTTATAACTATATTGGGAGGGCATAGGGCTCTTTGAAGCTAATCTCAAAGTACTAATTAATTTATATTAATTGTCCATCTGGTGTTATTATTTGTTTCATTCTCTTCTGCAATATGAGGAGGTTCTAAATAGAACATCTAATAATTCTTGCCTCTATTTATAGATCAGAAGAGAGGAATACGAGTAGAAGAAAGAGTTGGGCCCAAGTCTGAGATAGTGAAACTTTAAAAAATTTTAATTAATTTATTTTTAGTTTTCAACAATCATTTCCATACGCTTTTGAGTTTTAAATTTTCTCCCCCTTCCTCCCCACCTCTGTCTCCAAGATGCGTGCAATCTTGGATATAGGCTCTACATATACGTTCCTATTAAACACATTTTCACATTAGTCATGTTGTAAAGAAGAATTAGAACCAATAGGAGGAACCACAAGAAAGAGGAAATAAAACACAACAAAAGAAAAAAAATAGCAAACAGTATGCTTCGATAAGCATTCAAACTCCATAATTCTTCCCTGGATAGCATTTTCCATCATGAGGTCTTTGGAGATGTTTTAGATTCTCGTATTGCCAAGAAGGGTTAAGTCTATCAATATCAGTCATTGCACAATGTGGCTGTTATTGTGTGCAACATTCTTCTGGTTCTGCTCACTTCACTCAGCATCAGTCCATACAAGTCTTTCCAGGTTTTTCTGAGGCCTGCTTGCTCATCATTTCTTATAGCACAATAGTATTCCATTACCTTCATATACCACAACTTGTTCAGCCATTCCCTAATTGACGGGCATCTTCTCAATTTCCAATTCTTTGCCACCACAAAAAGAGCTGCTATAAATATTTTTGTACATATGGGTCCTTTTTTCCATTTGTATGATCTCTTTGGGATATAGCTCTAGAAGTGCTATTGCTGGATCAAAGGATATGCACATTTTTGTAGTCCTTTTGGCATAGTTTCAAATTGCTCTCCAAAATGGCTGGATCAGTTCACAATTCCACCAACAATGCATTAGTGTTCCAATTTTCCCACATCTTCTCCAGCATTTCTCATTTTCCTGTTTTGTCATGTTAGCCAATCTGATAGGTGTGATGTGGTACCTCAGAGTTGTTTTGATTTGCACTTCTCTAATCAATAGTGATTTAGAGCATTTTTTCATATGATTATAGATAGCCTTAATTTCTTCATGAGAGTAAATTCATTATGTTTTTCCCATTCTGCACCAGTGACATTATTTTCCAACATTAAAAAGTCATAACTGTCATTTTCTTAAGTTTCTATGGAAGTTACAGTGCTAGGAAAACCAAGCCAGGAATTGAGATCTGTGGTAGGGAAAGGATATCCCAGTAGTGTACTGAGATGACTAGGTGTATAAGTTGCCTAACTTGCTTAGGGGATACCTTGCCACAAAAGGAGAATGAGCAGTACTGCAGAGGGAACACTAAACCATTACACACGCTTACTCAAAGCATTTACTTTATCACTGCACTCTTGAAAGGAGAATACTATTTCCAATGTACTGAGCTTGAAACTTGAGGCAAACAGTTACATAAACACTGGAGTAAAGCAGAGATACAAAGAACATCTAAGTGGTGAAAAACTGGTAGAGTATAAACAAGAGGGCTGGCTCCCTTTTTCCCTTTGAGAAATCAGCTACTGACATTATAGGGAGAGAAGTAGTTTGGCAGGTTGCAGGAGACAGAGCTTATTTGAAACTTTGCCTTCATACTGTGGTGGGAGCTGGAGTTCTTACTGGAAGGTCTGACTGTTCATCAGACTCTGAACTTCTAAGACAGTGATTCCCCAATCTTTTTCTGAAGAAGAGTTATTTTTTGTACTGCTGAAGCCTTGAAATTTTTTTTTTTTGGGGGGAAGATGTGAAATGCAAGATGGATGTTGACAAAACCCTCATAAAGGGGGAAGGTGTGGTAAGGGGTGGTTGTAGTGGGGGGTTAGTATGATAGCAGTAACAGTGGATCCCAATGTATTAGTTGGGAATCCCTTTTCCTAAGGACTAAAGAAAAAGGCTAAGATCAAGCAAAGAATTCTCTTTAGGCATAGAAAGACCTGGTCATCTCTCAGAAGAGAATAATCTCACCACAGATTTCTGGTAATGGGGCTCAGTGAATTATACAGTGTCCCAGAAGTCTTAAAACTGCACTAAGACTTTTGAGATACTTTGTAGAGCTACATTATCTTCTTTACTAATATTAATTTAATTTCAATTTGTATTAGCAAGTACCTGCATTCATATACATAAACATGAGTAAAAAAATCAGAAAAACAAAACTAAAAGAGATTATAAGTAATTTAGTGATTTTCCTAAAGTGTTCAAGTCTAACCATGACAAAAACAGAATCAGGACTGGAAATGGAATCCTAATTCTGGGTCGCTGTCCTAAACTATCAAATAAACTCTGGCAGCTCCCTGTTACTTCTAAGATCAAATATAATTTCCTCTGTTTGATTCTTAAAGTCCTTTACAATGTGTTCTCTCATATGACCGATCCAGACTTACTTTACCCTAATTTCCTTCATGTATAAAATAGTACAGCTACTCTGGCCTCTTGACTGTTTCCTACTCATGATGTTTCCTCTCCCTTCTCCATATCTTTGCACTGGCTTTTCCTCATGGCTGGAATTTACTCCCTTCCTCACTTCTACCTCTTAAAATCTCTTTTAAGCTCAGGTCTGGTACCATCTTCTAACAAAGTTTTTCCTGATGTCCTCAGCTGCTGTTTTTCCACCCTTCTTCCCCATTATTTTGGTTTTGTTTGTTTGTTTTTTAGGCAACTGGGTTAAGTGACTTGCCCAGGGTCACACAGCTAGTAAGTGTCAAGTATTTGGTCTGAGACTGGATTTGAACTCAGGTTCTCCTGACTTCAAGGCCACTGCGTCA